CAGGCAGGCAGGAAGAAACAGGATACCACAGTGGTTTAGCTGGAGAAGAAACCCCATGGGGCTGGGAGGAAGGACTCTAATGCCATGAAAAGACCCAGATAAGGATTAAAAGCAAATGTTTGTAAGATTATGGTTGGAAGATAGGATGGTTAAGGAGGAGGGCATTGGATAGGGGCTGGGAGATGGATGGTGAGGTGATGCAGGCAGCCTAGGCAGGAATTTCTGCCTTGCTCATGGTAGATAAGGCAATTGTAAAATCTAACAGGTGTCTGTGTCTTCTTATCTGTGATAGCGGATTAAATAGTACTGCCATGATCATCATAGATTTAATAATAAATAAGATATAGCCTAACACCTTTTATTTACTACAACATATATTTTATTTTGTTTTTATTTTTGCCTTCTGCCACCATCCCTGACATGCACTAAATTTCTAATGTGCCTTTTTCTCACTTTTCTGGATATCTCCCTTGCCCTTGGATATCATATGAGTTGAGAAACAGTTTACTGAGAGAGGCTGTGCTGGGATCTGAGGTGAGAATCAAGGCAACTGGAAGAGGCTTTTGATGTGACTTGAGGTTTAGCCATCCAACAAGAAGAAATGGATACAAAATTCCAGCAGGAAGACATGAACGGAGATGGTGCTGATGACCTTAATGCTTGCTTTGTACCAGTTGAACTGATACCCTAGAATCATCTGCGTTGTTTTTCAGCATGGGGCTTGTGTTATTTTTACAGAAAGATGTCTCACTTGCTCTGTAGACTAGGCTGGCCTGGATCTCACAGAAATCCACCTGCACAACTGTCACCTTTTAACCAATGATAAACCTGTTAGTCTTTTTTTTTTAAGTCAAGTACACCTTTATTATTATTATTATTATTATTATTATTATTATTATTATTATTATTATTTTAACTATCATATCTGGTCCAATTGAGATATTTTGAACTTCGTTTCTAATTTGTAATAAAAGTTTACAAGTTGATTTTTCACAAAAGTGAATAAATTGAAAGCATCTGTTAATAAATGTTTTTAAATATAATATAAAGCCAAACCTTGGCTTTGAGGCTAGGGCTGTAGCTCAGCAGTAGAGGACTTGCATATCATGTTAAAGTCCCTGGGTTCAGTCCTTATCATGGCAACAAAGAAACACATCTTACCAATTTCTCCCAGCATCTAGTTATATGTGGTGGCTGTCTTCAAGCATAAGTCATTTGTCTGTCTGTCTGTCTTTTCCTTAGTTTCTCTGTGTAGTCCTCTCAGCCCTGGAACTTTCTCCTAAGGCCAGGCCTGCCTCTGCCTCGATAGTCAGGGATTCAAAGCATGCACCAACACACCCAACTTGAGCTCAGTTTTCACATGTTTTGATCCCATTTACTTTTTGTACTCTTGAAAGTTACTGAAAATCCCATAGAATTTTTATTTATGTGGGTTGTATCCATCAACATTTGACATAGTACAAATTGAGTATTATAAGTAATACAAAAGTACACATTCCAGTGGGTAGGATAGCATCAGTACACATCATTTAACATCTAGAAAACTCTGAGCCTCTGTAATGTGCAAAGATATAAACAATGTTGTGTAGCACCAAAGAGCTCTGACTTCATGAATCCTCTGAAACTGTCTTGGGCTGAAGCACACTTTTGAGGCTCTCTCTCTCTCTGGAGGTGACTGCTCCTGCCAGGCCAGTCTTGCTATCAGCTGGCTGGATGCTGTTTATTGGGTGAAATTTACCCTGGGAATATTCATGGCTCCAAGCTGGGATGAGATGAGGTCAGGAGCAAGAGGTTCTTGGAAAG